TGCACGATCAGTGCCTGCTGCTCCTGGCGTAGTCCCTGGAGTCTTTCTTCTAGTTCCCGAATTCTTTGACGGCTTGCTTCCATTCGGGCTGGCCTTTTAGCCATCCCTTCGATCAAATAGAGCTTCCTATCCTACGTTTTTCTTTTTTTCCCACGATAGCGATATTCCTTTGCTACTCGTGGAGATTAATAAAACAGAAAGTATCATAGTACGTCGTCCTTTCCTGTCCGTGCGCTGTTTTTCTTTGCCTTTCTATGGGATGGTTCAAATGGGAAAAGTTTCACTTGGTAAATTGGGAGACTGTCGCAATGCCAAAGTGTTGGAGCGGAATTGGGATTAAAGATCTAACTTTTTTAATAAGGCATTACTGAGAAACCGGTTATGGAGATTCGGGATAGAGCAGAATGCTTTTTAAAATGAGGTGATTGCGGAGAAGTATGGGGTTTTAGAAGAGGTTGGAGAACCAAGAATGAATCACTTCCTTATGGGTGCAGGCTATAGAGAAATATATTAAAGGGTTGGGAAGAGTTTAATGAAACATATCATCGACAGTGGGTAATAGGAGTAGGATAAGTTTTGGGGGACATAAGTGGTGCGGGGACAACATTTTGAGAATCACATTTACAGATATGTATAGAGCCCCATGCCAAAAGGAAATGCCAATCAATCAGGTGTATTGGGATTTGAGGTTTAGGAGGAACATACAGAATTGAGAGGTTGCAGAATTTCAAAATTCGGTCAAGTTGCTTCACAAAGAGCTTCTGACTATGGAAGAGTCAGCTTTCTCACATCTCTGTATGGATCCCTAGGGCACTTAGAAAAGTGTGTTTATTCACTTGGCTAGCTGCGAGGGGGTGATCTGGACGAAGGAGAATATGAGGAAGAGGAAGATTACATGTGTCAATTGGTGTTTCATGTGTAAAAACTCAGGAGCCGATGTGAATTATTTCCTTTTTACATTGTCGGATAGCATCCTGTTTGTGCAGGGAAACCCAGAGATAGTTCTTCGAACTCCAGTGGGTGATGCCAAGCGCGGCGAAAGAAACAATGTTTAGTTGGACCTACAGAATACGGAAGAGAAGAAACAGGACATGAGATGTGGCTTCTCTAGCACTTATGTGCATCATATGGGGGGGGGGGGGGGGGAGATACAGGAGAGCTTTTGATGGAATAGAGAAGGAGTTTGCACACTTGAGGATTAGAGTCTTATCCCTTATTTTTTTTTGGTGCACCTATGATGTTCCTATATGCATAGAAGATTGGGTGTCTTTGGAAGAAAAAAAATCTTGTTGTAAGGTTTTCTACATTTTGGTATAATTCTTGTATATGGGTGTTTTCTACCCTCTTTTAATGAAATTTATTACTTTTATCTAGAAATATAAAGAAGTTTATTGGTATTTGGTAAGAGAACAATTTGAGCCAAAATAGTAATCACAGCCTCAGGAGTAGGTTATCAGAAAACTTTATGCAGCTTTTGACCATCACATTTGCTGGCCATTGAGGAATTCCCAACGTAAAAAAATTAAAAACAGCACAAGCACTTTTTTATCATGTCCTTGTCAACGCAACTCTTGAGAATTAGAGAACCAATGTATTAACAGATAGCCTTGTTAACTTGTTTCTGTAGAACAAAAGATCATGAACATCTTAGACATACAAAACGGTAGAAGGATACATTAACATCTTTTTCATCTCTATATAATATAGGCAGGTAGCCCAAAGAAGGAAGTCCTTAGGCATCTTGCATACTGAAGATATTATGCCTCAAGCATCACATTCTCATTTGAAAAAGATCAGAAAAGACATAAAAACAACTTTTCCCTATTCAACAAAGGTCAAAGTACAAGACTCTCTGTGACCATATTCCATTAATGGTGGAGGTCCCTAGGCGATGAACCATGACTTGATAGCCTTCCCTAATAAACTTCAAAAGTATTTTTCTTTGAAAAACTCCTTCAGTTACCGGCCACCCTGAAGCAGATCAATAATTTGTTAGAAAGTACTGATTGTCATGTGACATGTCACCTAAAAACCTAGCATACTAGCACTAACTTAACTATCCGAAAAACTTTGTGTAATATATACATCACAGACAAACATTTGGGGCTAAACTTCCATAGCTAAATGGAAGTTTCAATGATACAAAGCTAATCAATCATAAGGAAGCATGGGTGTTGGAACTTGGGGCACTCCTTGAAGGTCAACGTTAACTTGTATTTTTATGCATTTATATAACATACTATCTTGGGTAACCATATATTCAAGCAAAATTTCTCCAGCATATTGACATTCAGACTAATTTTCTTAACTATTATTAATTATTAAACATTGATCATGCAGAAACAAAGAGCACTTTGACATATAACTTAACTGTTAAACACTATAATAAACTTGGAGATACTAATTATCCTAGAGAATATTACTATTGTGAAGATACAGCCGAGAGCAACACCAAGCCCTGACTCTGCCAGTCTACCTTGTGATAACTATTAAGACTCTTTGAGCACAAGTTGAATTCTTTAATATATGACAGTCTCAGCCCAAAGTTCGAAGAGTGGGGAAAATAATGACTCTAATGTAGGTCAGTGTGCTAGTTAATACATTAAAACTAGCGAATACACATAAAACATGAAATTCAATTCCCAGAATATGAAGCATTGAGCAAAGGGGTCATTTGATCCAAGGATTCTCTATGCAAGGATCATAATAAAGGGATTGTTATTCGATTAATAAATAATGAAAGAATTGTTATTCAGTGAATAATAATGTAGGGATTATTATACGATGAATAATAGTACAGAAATAGTCATGCGGGGATTGCCTACTTTAACGGCTTTTGTACGTAGTTGCATAAACTTTATCCAGGTACTGCTAATATTATTTTTGTTCCAGATTTACCTCCCCTGGAACAATATATAGATGTTTGCATAAGTTAATTAGTAGTAATAACACAAAGTTTAATACCAAAAAGAAAAGGCTGCATCAGCTATTGCATAGCTATATACCGAAAATCAAATGCTTATTAGTTATGCAGTGATTGCATATATAATGCAGAGTGAATGTTGTATGAGTTATACGTAAAATTACATTGAGTTTATTTTTCTTATGAAGCTAACTATATGGCTATAGTGGCATTCTTCCTTCCTGGTTTACGTTTGCTCACTCCTGAATGTGAAATAGTCTATTACCATAATCTAATGAGTCAGTCAAATACAAAATACTAGAAGATATTCAGATGAACGGCGTTCGACTCCAACTCAATCAGAAACTAATTCCATGAATTAACTAATTAAGTTGCTCAATTTTTATCTTTCTTTTTTTCTTCTTTTGATAAGGTAAATTGTATTAATCAAAAGGGAGAGAACTCCCGTATACAGGAAGTATACCAAAAGCTAGAGAATTTACATCATAATATGATTCTCTACAAAAGACGCCCAATCTTCTATACAAGTAGGGGCAATATGAGTGAACCAAAAAGCGATCAAAGATAAAAGACTATTCTTAAAGATGTGGAAAAGGAGACTCAATCCCCTCTAAAGCTCTCCTATTTCTCTCCCCCCAAACTATCCTCATGAGAGCTAACGGGGCGAACTTCCACGCCTTTTGCTTTCTTGTTCTACGAAAACCCGCCCAGCTATATAACATTTCCTTTACGGTGCTTGGCATCACCCATTGAACACCAAAAAGATTCCAGATTACCCTCCACGAAGCCGAGGACATAGGGCAATGCAACAAAAGATGATCAACTTCTTCCCCTGAGCTTTTACACATGTAGCACCAACTAACAAGTGTAATTTCTCTCTTTCGCAGATTTTCAGCGGTCAAAATCACTCCCCTCGCCGCTAGCCATGCAAAAAAGCACACCTTCGTGGGCGCCTTAGGAATCCAGATCGAGGAGTATGGAAAAGTGGCCTCCTCTCTCACCAACATACTCTAGTAAAAGGACTTTACGGTGAACAATCCATCACCACGCTAACCCATTCTCCAAGAATCCCAATATGGCCGGGGCCTGTCTTGCCCATATATGAGTGTGAACAAATATTGGAGCTCCGCAATCTCCCAATCTTGCATGTTCCTTCTAAATGAGAGGTCCCATACCCCCCCCCCCCCGTCATGCTCCTTACGAATCTGTTGGACCATAAATTCCTTCTGGTTTGAAACTCTAAAGACGTGGGGGAATGAAACTCTCAGAGCATCCTCTCCACACCACCTAAAATTCCAAAAGTTGATTCTCCTTCCATCTCCCACCCTGTAATAAGTGATGTTGCCACTGAAGTCTTCCCAATTCTTCATGATGCTACTCCACATGCCACACCCGAAACGTGTTGTGATTGCCTTGGTCCTCCAACCCCCTCCCGTCACTACAAGATTATACATATATAGCTACGAACTACGTTGTAGCTAAACATGAGAAATTCTGTGGCTAAACACTTTAGCCACAGTAATTTTTTCCGTAGCACCCGTAGCTAGAAGTAGCGTAACTAAAAGTTAGCTACAAACTTTAATATTTCGTGGCTAAGGATTAGTACTTATTGCTACAAGAATTTTTGTGATGTAGCTATATTAATAAAATATTTTGCCACGAAGAGTATATATTTATAGCTAATGGTATCATTCATTTGCCACGATAAATTGATTTTGTTGCTATCTTCTATACTTTAGCCACAAAGGGATATTCTGCGGCAAAAGATGCTATTTATTTAGCCACAAAATTTAAATATGTAGCTATGCTCACATATAAGATTTGTATTATAGTAATTCTATTTAGCTACCAACCCATAATTTCATACCTATAAATCGTTAAAATATCCATGATTAGATTTTTATTATGTTTTATTTGGTGACTAGATTTTGATTACATTCTATTTTTATGAAAAATTAATTTATTAGAGATAATAAATATTTCTGTCCTATGGTTACTATTTTTCTGTTTTACCTCACTAAATATTTTAAAGATTTTCAAATACTCCATATCCATGCATCTTTGATCAAATCATTAATACAATAATAAACATTGAATATCACTTTATTATACAAATTTACATCCAAAAATTTTAAAAATTAATTCTAAAATATACAATTATCTATCTAAAGTAAACTCGGTCATTCAACTATAATATATAAAATTCTGAAGGGTTCTACATCAAAACAAAACTAAGTTCTAAGTATTTAATCTGGGATTGAAAATGTTGCCAACAAATGATCTTCTCCCGTCCCGGATGAAGTAATTTCACTCTTTGCATCAAGACTAATCCTTGATCTTCTTGTATTCAATAGATTAAAATGTACCCTATAAATTCAAAAGAAACAAAAATTAGCACACAAGAATGAGCGAACCATTAATACAAATATGCAACGTTGATCTGTAAAAATACAAATAGAAGTTCAAAGACAGAAAAATTATATCTAGATAATTCTTTTACAAAATTTTTAGCATATAACAAAAGGGGAAAATTCAATGCAACAAGATAAGAAAACAAACCTTTATACTTTTCTAAAAACTTTTGAAAGGATTTTCATCTAATTTTTATTTGTAATGTCTTTTCGACGAACTGTTGCTCTTCCCAACACTATATTATAATCTTCAAGGTTCCACTCAATACCTATCACAATACTGCATAATATATATCAAATTGTTAGAATATGAATCCAAAAATTCAAATCAAGTAGGTGTATGGAATTGAGAAATTCTAAAATATAAATACATAAACATACTTGGAAAGACAGAAGACGCCAGGCTATCTAGCCAATGATTCCATTGGTTTGCCCTGTACATGTGAAGAGAGAAAGTGATGTTGAAGAAGGAAATGTGAAAAGGGAGGAAAAGGGGAGGCGGTTGGGAAGGGAACGCATGGGGAGGCGGCTGGGAAGGACGCAAAAAGTGAGTTTAAAGGGTTTTTTATTAGGTTTTGCCGTTTTGGGGATTTTGGTTTGGGCCAATTGACCTTTATGTTTCCTTTTCTTATTGTTAATATATTATTTGCTTCATTTTATTTCTTAATATAAATATCATAAATGAGAGAAATATAAGTACTAACAAGTACAAGTAAGTAAGAAAATTATGTAGGAAAAATGTAAAAGATTAAATCCATAATTTATATTAAGTAAAATAGAAAACTCAACTTGCATGAAATAAAGATATTCAATAATTACAATTTTTTTCGTCCTGCACGATATTGTTAGTTTTGTTATTTACTCCTATTTCAGTTATATTAACTTCTTAATTTTAGTGCTTAATTAGATTATGATAGTTATTAAGTTATTAAAATAGTATTAAACTATTATATATATAACTTTTCTATTTATCTAACTTGAGTATAATTAGTGATCAATGTACATAGATACAAACATATTGTCTAAATTTGATATTTCTTATTAAATTATAATGAAAACTAATTACATGTTTATTTAAATTGTATAGAAAATTACAAGTATAATTTGTTTATTATGAATTATGATATACTAATTAGTTTTGTTGTACACTCCTATATCAACCATATTAAATATTAATTTTTTTAAGTGAAACTTAATAATATCGAATTATGTAAATATTATAAAATATCAAATAATAGTCACAAGAGAAACATGATCTTCTTCGTGTATCTTTATCATATTTAATTCTCAATGTACAATGTAACTGGTGCAAGATTATAGTTTTTAAAATTCTATAAAATTAGTCATCGACACATTATTTAGCTATAATTCCACTATATTGAATAAGAATTATAATATAATTAGTTTTCCCGTGGACTTAAGTATCAATTAATTTCATAATTCTTTGAAATAGTTTTAACAGAATTATATAACTATTAATATGAATTATAACGTCGTACAAAATTTTGTAGTGTTAAATATGTTCATATGTATTTGTAGCTTTGGTCATTTATCAAAACTAAATACACCAAAACCATCACAAAGTTCTTCAATGTATGAGCACTTATTTAAAAATGAATCATTAGATATATGAAATTATTCTAAGTACTTATTAAAAACTCTTAAAGTCTTCAATATATGAGGACTTATTTAAAAATAAATATTTAAATATAAGAAATTACTCTAACTACTTATATAAAAAAAATAGTTAAGTACCAGACATACATAAATTCTCCACAAATGTTAATATATTTTGAATTTTACACCAAATATATATATATCATTAACGTTCAAAACTAACAAGGTGCAATAAAATAAAATATGAGTTTGATAAATAAAGTAAATTAATAAGTTTAGAGGCTACAAGTAGGCATACAAATGGTTTATTAAAATTAACTTTGCATATTTAAAGTTTATTAATACTTCAAACTATATATAATTACTATGTTTTATGTTATTTTGAAAAAATATAACTTTTATAGTTAAAATCAAAATTTCATAACTTGATATTGTTTGAGCAACTCTTACTTTTGTCAATGAAATAAAGCTATTCACTTATGAAATTTTGTACATATAACTTATTGTGGTTAAAATACTATTATTGCAATGACAATCATAGTTGTACGACTAAAGTATAGTGAACTCGTAAATTTATCGTCACTTTAAATTTGTGTCTATTGATTTTTTTCATGACAAATAGTATTAACTATTATCTAACTATTTTTATTTTCTTAAAATAAGAAGATAAATATTTATTTGACTATAAAATTTTGTTTCAAATTTTTAGTGTGGCTAGAAGATTGCTACTGTGACGGAAAATTTACCTTGTGGCAAAAACTAATGATTAGTTATAAAATTTATCGTAGCAATAAATTCGTGGTTATATCATTTTATCGTGATGATCCTACTGCCATGACTTTTTAGAACTTGAAGCAAAGTTATTCATTTAGCAATATTTGATTTAAATGGTTTATTGTGACTAAAAGGTTACGGTTGCTATATTAAGTTTCAACTCGTGGCAAAAATTAATAATTAGCTACGAAATTCTATTAAAGCAAGAAACATGTGGCTAATTTAACCTATATTGCCACAACTTTTAATAGCTTAAAGCAAAAATATCCATTTAGCTACAATATTTTCTTTCAAATATTTTATTGTGGCTAAAAAGTTACTATAGCTATAGTAATTTTCAACTCGTGGCAAAAAACTAAGGATTAGCTACATAATTCAATTATACCAATAAATCTGTGACTATATCATTTAACTATTGCCATAACTTTTTAGAACTTGAAGCAAAAAATATTTATTTAGCTACAATATTTTATTTTAAATAATTTATTGTGGCTAAAAGGTAACTATTGCTACAGTAACTATTGATTCGTGGCAAAAACTTATGATTAGCTACCAAATTTTATTTGTAGCAATAAATTTGTAGCTATTTAGGTAGCTATTGCCACGATTGTTAGCAATTGTAGCTAATATGAGGAATTAGCTTTATCAACTTAATTTTCGTGGCAAGAAGTTTTATAGTTTTGCAAATAGCCATAGAATTTTAATTTTTGTGGCTATTATCAGGTATTAGCTATGATTTTTAAATTTATAGCAAAGATTTCGTAGCTATAGATGCATAATGTTGTAGTGCGTGGAATCGTACTTTTCTACTATGACCTCCCTTCATAGAGCATGCTCTTCTACCCCGAATCTCCACAGCCACTTCCCCAACAAAGCTTTGTTGAATACCCTAAGATCTTTTACTCCAAGTCCACCCCACTTCTTTGGGGAAGTGACTATCTGCCAATTCACTAGATGAAACTTTCTAGTTCCATCTGCCGCATCCCAAATAAAATTCCCTTGAAGCCGCTCCAATTTTTCTATGATGCTCACAGGAGCTTGCAACAGGGACAAGTAACAGGGCATACTTGATAAAGTGCTTTTAATAAGCACTTCCTTACCGCCTTTTGACAAGTACCGTTTCTGCCAGCCTGCTAACTAAAATCTTGATAGTGCTGGTTTCAGTTAAACAGCTGCTTTGGTTTCAGTTAAACCAAATCAGCTGTTTATTGTAACTAAAATCTTGATAGTGCAGCTCTTTTTCACCCTTTTTCTTTTGAGGGACTCTTAGCAGGGCTTCTAATCTGGGATTGTAGCTCCTCTTGTTGCAGCTTAGTGTCTCATTTCCACAATATTTACGTAAGTAGAGGTGAACAAGTAAACTCCCAGTACCACCGCCCGCCCACCCAAAAAGAAATGAAAAAAATATGAGCAGAAAACTTTCCTTCCGAAAACAACATAATAAAAATACTACAATAAATAAGATTATTAGTGACAACATATAGCAGCGACCCTATTGGTTGCTACAACATCTATATCATTAGTAGCGACTTTAAAAGTCGCTACAAAAGTGTAATATTTAGCGACTTTTCTTAGGTCGCTTCTGATGAGGCTGATTTTTTCAGTCCCGCTAAGAATAAAATTTTGGCTCCATAATATTTTTGGCGACTTTGGCATAGTCGTGGCTAAAACTCTATTGAAGCAACTGGGTCTCTCCTATACCTAGATTTTTACTTTCAAAATAAAAAAGAAAATAAAAGATCAATATCCCTCAAATCGGCCCTCTCTCTCTTGTCACTTGCTCTCTATCTTCTTTTCAACTTCTCCTTCTTTAACTTTCATCCTCGATAATAGACTATTGGGCTGTTTTTTATTATGTGAAATCTGGATTTTTCTATGACTGAGAGAAATCTCTGGAGTTACGTGACAAATCATTAAAATTTTATAATTTGTTATAGTTAACTTAGTCAAAACAGCAGATTAGTCCCTTTTGTTTTCTTCTTTTGCAAAGATGAGAAGACTTCTGTGCTAGTTTAGCTAGTCTTCAAATTTCTTTGATCGAATTTCGAATTTCTCCGCAAGTTTAGCTAGTCTTCTGAAAGTGAAATTGATCATGCTTCCAGGCCTATATGTTTTCAGCCATTTTAATCCTGCCATGTCTACTGCTGTTTGAGAATGATAAAACCATGTTATTGTTAATAGCTTGCTTAGTCTTCTAAGCAAACCTTAAATAACCACTGCAACCGTAGACAACTTGTGTGGTCGAACGCTACATATTTGGTGTCTTTTTTATAAGTTGACTTTTGACCTGCTTGTATTCATTATTTTTGGTGGACCAGTACTTTGTTTATATCTCTGCCGCATGCAATGATTTATGTTCATCATGAATGCTTTGGGATGTAAAGTCTCCTGGAGAATGTCGAAAGGATATCTCTTGATGTTTTCTTTGTATTAAGGCCATTGTCTAGCTTTAGATTAACACATGTCATTCCATGCTAAGTAGGAATGGCTTTTCTCTTTTTCCAAAGATATCTTTGTTTTCTCAAGTGGAAGCAGCTACTTCGGTTTCATTAAAATAATAAGCATTTCAATTAACAAGGAATTCTCTCTTTCTTTTCATTTTTTGGTGTCACCTAAAACTTTCATAATTGTCGTCATATTCATCTTGTAGCTAATATCAACTGACTAGATTATTGTGTCTCCAGTTTTCATTTTAGCCGCATGTTTCCTACGGTAGTCCACACAATATTTTTCTACTCTACCATATCCTTTCGTCACAAGATATCATGTCGTTATAAGCTTCTTTTTATTAGCTAATGTAGTGTTAACTGATCAGCAGAAAACTTTATTATAGTATAACTAGATTTTAAAGAAAATAGGTTAGTAACTTATACGTTTAAGCTAAGGATTAAGCCTGCTTTTGGAAGAGTTGTATTATACATAGTTGTAGAAAGTAAGAAACCTGCCTTTATCACTTTATTTCCAACTTGACCATAGTGAATCCAGAATATCCAACTCTTCCTTCCACTAGTTACTGATAATATTCTCTTATTAGCTATAATCAGTTTATCACATGCAGGCACAAAAATATGTCGGTGGAGACTACAATTCAAAAGAAACTCCATGGCATTGGTATTGTAATTAGTATACTTTTGGGTCCTACAAGACTAACTCTTTCATCTGCTTAAAGGGGGAGCAGGCCATGTAGATATAGCTTGTGACTCTGA